AAATTAATTTATGTAAAAGCCTTACAAATTGATAGTAAAATCAATCTTATTCTTTTGTAGATCACAGAAACTTTACATAGTGGTAGTAAAAACTGGGTATCTTACAAAGTACCCAATTTTGAAAAGTAATGATCAAGTGAATACAATCAGAAAAATTATATTACAATATATTTTGTTTGCTTATTGTGCCCACAGTAACATTTATATAACTTAGGATACTGTTTTGAACAATTTTGACATGTCTTGTCATGACATAATATTTCAGCTATATCTTGTATCTATGACAAGATAAGCACATTAAACAAATCTTTTTAAAAGATTATAAATTAGAGGTGAGGGATGAATAAAACTTCATGGGAGTTTCAGTAAAAGCTTGTTTTAATCTCAACAGCTAGCAAATCAATTTTATAATGTAGCCAATTTTGAAAGTAAATGGTTATTGTTATGATAAATTCTTCTTGGAAAAGACAGGCTTCTCTCTTGAGAAATGCAGTTCAAATATGTTCTGAATGTTCACTGATAAAGCACATGAACAGATTTAGAAAGCATCATTTGATATTTAAATGTGCATATTTGTACTTTGCAACTATCGCCAATTCTCATTTGTCTATGGTAACGAAGGACATTGAGTGGGGACAGGGAAGATAAGTGCAATTCCTAAACATGGCATTGAATTTAGTTTTTCAGAAAGGCCTTTAATTACAGAGCAAAATAAAACCAAGTTCAGATCCGCTCTTCCCTCCACTTCTATGAACCGTAGAATATGATCATGAGAAGTGGACGTGTCAAAGACAGAATGCAGGAGGAGAAACAGAATAGACTGCTAGGCTAACACAGACAGCAGCTAAAGAGTCCATGAATAATTTATTTGTGAATGATACTAAATTTTCTATAAATTGTGTTTTTATTTGTGATCAAAGAAAGAGGCAAACAGAACACTCTTAAGATTATATTTTCTTTTTTTTTGCCCCTGAGGTTGAACTACTGAAAAGATATAGTTTAAAAAAAAAAGCATGGCAAAATTTAAAAATGGTTATTGGATGGATATATCTCTATTTATTACATATTTATTTGATCAACTGTGTTTTATAATTTCATTGTTTGTATCTCAGATATTTTTATCAGAAATATCCCTAAATATTTATATTACTTGAGGCTTATTTTTGGAACAGAATTTTTCAATTTTTTAAAGCTGTTAATTATGTCTAATTGATATGTATGTTATTTTCTAAGGTCCCATTTAGTCAGGTTACCTTCTCTTTAGGATAACTTGCACATGAAGCATAGGCATACTAGGAATGAGGTAACCTGGATTGAGAAAGTCATGCTCTATCTCATCTTCAGTTCCTAGCACCAAATCTGCAGATATTAATATAAGTAATGTTACCACTCCTCATGAAAGAAGCTTCTCTTTACAACAAATGAAGACCATTACAGAAAACCACAACTGTACACAGTCCAGAGATCACGGGATCTTGGGGAGTCCAGCCACAATGGATACATCTACACCAGAGTTCCTCCATCTATGCTTTGGGAGACATTGTGGAAGTGGGAAGTGGAAAGACTGTAAGAGTTAGAATAACAGGGCATCTTCTGTGAAACACGTGCTCCTAGAAATGGCTGCACAAAAATGGCCAGAGCAATGTTATAATCAATAGACATGCTAACTTGAAAGGAGAAAATTTTTATGTGGTTCTGTTCCAAGATAAGAAACTATTAAAACTACTGATTTCAGGGAGGGGAAGAATTAGCTTCTCCCAAGGATGAGACCCCTTACTGGTTATCCAATACAAAGTGATCAACCCTGGAACCATATACACACAAACAACAAAAAAATGGACTCAGCAGGTTACACGCGCGCGCGCACACACACACACACACACACACACACACACACACACACACACATTTTTAAAGAAGAGAAGGTTTATTCTGGCTTATGATCCCAGGGTATAAGTGTCCACAATGAAGAATTGGAGGCGTGGAGAGTAGCAGGAGTGGCAGTGAAGAGCTCACTTTGAACTGAAAGCAAGAAGTAGAAGGAATGACCTGGAAGTGGCACAGAGTCTTTGAACTCTCAAAGCCCACCTTCAGTGATGTACTTCCTCCAACTTGTTTTTATATTTTTGTACATACATATGCATACATATATATCAAAGAAAAAGGGGCTATCAATTTCAGAATGGAAGCCATGGGATGAGTTGAAGGGAGTGTACCAAGGGGCTGGAGGGAGGAAAGGGAAGGGGAAAATTGTTTTATTTTTTTTTTAATTTAAAAAAAAAACTTAAAAAATAAAAGTCCTTCAGCAGAGTAATAAATAAAACAAAATATAAATAAATAATATGGTATTATATGAAATGTGGTTTGAAATACTATAGTATTGTATTATTTATTTAATATATAGTACTATATTATTTATTTTTAGAAGATACTTATGTTTAGAAAATCTTGATTGCAACACTTTGCTCACAGTTGTTTTAAAATTACAAGCTCACAAATTGGAAATCTTTAAAATCAAGAACTTTTAGTGCTCAACAGATACTTTATACTGAAGGAAAGTATTTTAAAAGCACATATATAAGGAAAGACTTAGAAACTAGACTAGCCCCATGAAATTCAGAAACAATTAAAGAAGCACTTGAATGCAAAGTCTCAGTAGATATGAGTAGATATTTTACCAAAGAAAATAGACATCATTAGTCACTAGGGAATTTTAAACTGAATGCACAATGAAATACTACTGCACATATATTAGAATGGCTAAAATAGAGGAGACTGTATCATGTGTTGCTATTTGTTGGGACATTTAAAGTGATAACTCCACTTGTAAAATAACTTGATTTTTCTTTAAATCAGCAAATATCTAACATATGATATAGATTTTCACTCTTAAGTGTTCACCCAAAAGAAAAGGAAATGTCTGTTCACACAAAGGGTACCACAAATGGTCACAGGAATTTGTTATAAACCAAAACTGAAGACACCTTTTTATCAACAGATGGATGAATGATAGTGTTCTAAATCTCACACAGAGAATACTAATGAGAAAAAGAACTGTATTATGATGCATGAAATACCATGCATAAGACTTAAATTAATTATGATAAATAAAAAGTAGGACATAAAAAGATGCATGGTATAATTCTCTTTACATAAAATCCGAGGAAATGCAAGCCTGTCTACAGAGAGAAAGCAGTGACTGCCAGCTGTTGAAGGGTTTCAGATGGAAGGAGGTACAGATCACAAAGGATAGTGAGGAAGTTTGTATGTGGGAGGGCAACATCTGCACACACTGTCTCAAATGGGTTTATGGACATCTACATACATAACACATCAAACTGTACACTGTATATGTATATGTTACTATATGTCAAATATACTTTAATTAATCTGTCATGGAAGGAAGTGGAAGTGGTTGGATAATATCTTGAAAATCTTCAGAGAGATGAGTTCAAAGAAAAGATCACTAGATTAGAGAACAAATAATTATAATATCAAAAATGAGGATGTATAATAAAATATTAAAGAGTATGAAGAGAAGTTGAAGTATGAGAAGCCAGATTTTCAATAGTTACTGACATAGCAAAGAGTGTGCTTCATTATTAGGTAAAAGCACAAAGCAAAGCAATTTATCTTAAAGTAAAATGTTGGAAGAAGAAAGTTGGGTCATAGTTCTGAATGGCAAAGCTGCCAACATTTAAAATGAAATGTATGCAATAGAAATCCTGAGGACTTTGAAACATTCTTCAGTCATTTTAGACAGCATGCCTTCTTTTAAATTGCAATATGCTCTTTTAGACACACAAGTGATTAAAGTGTGGATAATTACTTGTAATAGTACACACTATTCAGTGGTCTTATCTCAAAATTCATGAGTTCTGAATCCTGGTTCCAATTCCTTTATGGATCTGAAGTCAGCTTGAAACCAAATGATTTTCCTTTTCTATGCCTGCAAATTTAAACAAAGGAAAGGGAGGCCCGTGTTCTGCTTATGGAGAATTCAATTAGACTTTTCAATAGTTTAGTTTCAGAAACAGTCTTTGCCTAAGAAAAATCATTAATTAAATGGCATCTTTCTCCTTATCATTGCTGTTCTCATGAAGTAAATGGTAAGTGTCCTCTTATCCTCATTGCTTCTGAGAGAACTGCTTTTGTTTGTTCAGAAAAGGAAAGAAAAAAAAATCAATTCTCCAGCACACTGGCTGATTACCTATGTATTTCAATGGCACTTTATCACCATGGTACCCAGGTACTTAGATCCTGGCAATGAATTGGGAACATCAAAACCACAGCTCTGTGAGATGAGGCCAGAATGAATGCCAGAGCATGCATCCTTTGATGCTGCTCCCTTTGTGTAAACACAGACAAGGCCAAAATGGATGGAGAGCCTATGTTTTCCAATGAAACTTTAATAGGATGGACTTCATCAGTTTGGATCCACCATTTTATTTATTTTTTTATAAAGCAGGTACTTCTTACAGAAAGGGCTACGTGTATACACCAGTCCAGACACAGGGATGTACATTTCAGCTATTTCCAACAAATACCATGCCTAATGTATTTATCCTTGATGCCCAATTCAACACCTGAGGTATAAGAATTCCAGCCATCAGTTTGTACACAAGAGATTTTACTGCATCAGAAGAAAGTATTCTAAGAAATTTCATATGCAAAGGATGACATTCTTATATATTTATTAAAGATCATTTACTTGAAATTAAAATTATTTGGTAAATGATGCTTCACTGTTTGGGGAGGGCTTTGAAGGCAAGGTAGTATTGATAAATTATAAGCCTGTTGATTCTGCACGTAAGTATTGTTACTGATTATATTTTCATTATACAAATCTTTTTAAGTCTATGGTGTCATTAATGTGCTTTGTATAATGTCAAATCATAGCTAAGAAACTGAGCTTAAAAAATATTAAACATATTTCCTATAAAAAAAATACAAAACTAAATCAGTACAAAACCCAAACCATATGCAGGCTACTTTTTTTAAAAGGAAAAAAGAAAAATTAAGTAGTCTGGTTTTGATCAAACCACTATCTTTTTAAGAGTTACTAGCTTTCTGTGTTGACCAACTAGAGATGAGTAGATGGGATTGCTAGTGCTACCAGTTATATTGGAAGCCTGCCTAGAATTACAGAGAGAGTATTTGAAATTATTTTAAAATTAAACTTTGCAGATTTTTGGTGAGGTGTTATAGTGAAAAATACATTACAGAATTCTAATTTCAATTTGCTTATCTAACAGTTACCTAAATGAAATAATTTAAGTTGCTATCAGAGCAAAACATTTATTCTTTAGAAACTGAATTAATGAAGCTTTTACTCTCTTCTAAGGTTAATTCTCTAATACAAGGTTTGTAATTTTATAAAGCAACAAAAAAGAAAATTAGCAAAAGAACACATATAGCATGCAGCTACTTCAGTTGTAGATGAATTTTTAGCTGCAGACATGTCTGAACCTTTTAAGCCCATGAGTGGAAGCTCCTATATCCACTCACCAAAGAACTGTGCACACACACAAAAAAACCAAATGCTAGCAATGCTGCCATACAACACAGAACAGGGCCAAGTAATGTAGCAAGCTATTTATTTTTCAAAAGAATTCCTGTTTCTTGTCAGCCAGTGTAAATTATAGTTTATGAATAGACTGTGAGCTACAAAGCCCAGCTTAAAAGTATAACTTACAGACTTTTCAACATTCATTCATTCAATCAATCAGATTTCAGTATACTCAGATTTCCAGGCTTTTGAGGCTGAACTACCTAAACATCAGTCTCTTCTTTTGTTTTTCGAGACGGTTTCTCTGTGTAGCTTTGCGCCTTTTCTTGGAACTCACTTGGTAGTTCAGGCTGGCCTCGATCTCACAGAGATCCGCCTGGCTCTGCCTCCCGAGTGCTGGGATTAAAGGTGTGCGCCACCACCGCCCGGCCTTCAGTCTCTTCTTAATTAAAACTGGATTTTGTAATAAAATGCATTTCTCTTGTGAAACTCCCTTATGTTGATACCTAAGCTATAGCATACACCTAGGTGTTGTAACATATTAAATCCTAAAACAGAAGAGCAATATGGTATGAAAAAAAAAAAAAACCTTGGACATTTCAAACCTTATGGAAATAATTGTCTTGATTTTGTACCACAAACAGAATTAAATGGACTCTAGTTGTGTATACAGATAAAGCAAGGACAAATTACCTAATATTTGTAAGACTGTAACTTCATCCAAAACAATGATCCAACTCTATGTTCATGCTCATAGCATCCCTCACAGTAAGGCCCACAACATGTTAATTTTCTGTACCTCTAACAAAGCATAAAATGCCACATGCATTGAAAGCATTTAAGACTGCTGGTTATGGCAAGCATGTAGCTGATGGGTCTCATTTCCTACATGTTTTGAGGAAACTGGTCTGCTTGCCAGGCCTGCCAGTGCTAGTGTTACTATTCAGCACTCCACTTGAGGTTTCCTTCTAGGATTCTCAGGCCTTCTAGCCCATGGTTTGCACACAAGAGAAAAGCGGCACCAGGGATACAATTTCCAGTCTGACACACCAGTTTTAGCCTAAGGTAGGTCTACATGCACCTGCTTTCCATTTGACTCTTAGGGTAGTGGGTCTGATTCCTGGCTGGCACTGGATAGGATTATGGTAAGATTCTAGACCAGAGAACTGAAATGCTAACTTTTCAGGAAATTGAAAAACTATAAACACTAGGCCTAAAAATAAAGATACTTAATGCCAGGGTTATATTTCTCTTTCAGAATGTAGATCTGAGTTAAAAGTTTCCATCATTGTTTGAATATGAGAGGCCAAATTAATGACCTAACTAAAAAGGAAGTCTATTTAATACTCTGACTTATATTACAAAATTAGCTACTAACCTAATGCTTTAAGTCACTATAACATTGCATTAAAAATACATTACTATAACCAAATAATGTTAAAGGTACTCTAATATACCCAATTTACATATATGGGAGATATATAGGGGGTGTTGAATTAATGCCTTGTTACAATTGTGATTGGTATGCGCCTGTAGAAGAGGTGGTCAGGATGTAAAGAAGCTGCAAGCAGGACCCAAAAACTGAAAATTTTAATTGGCTCCACCCAGTATTTTCCAAAGTGAGGATATCAGTTAAAGGATATTTGGAACAAAAAGTGTTTTTTAAAACAGATAAAATAAATCATATAAAAGGTTAAAATGGTGAAAACTGCTTTGAGAAGAGCTGGCTAACTGAAGATAAATGAGTTGCTGTGTGGCACAGCCTTTCATACAGGATGAACTGTGTACTTCCAAAGGAAACCGAGATTTCTAAAACTTTCCCTGGCAACTTGACCTTTAGTCCCATTGTTCCCTCTTCTACAGAGCATCTCCTGGAATACTCTCGGGATATGATGCTTTGAAATCTTCAGGGTAGCAGTGCATCCTATGAAGAAACATCAGAAGTTTGAAAGGCTGTAATGGTGTAGTTCTGAGAACCAGAATGCAAACTGCTAATGTTTTATGGGAGGTGAATATAAATTACTGTCATGCATTTTAATTTCTCATACACTTTTCCTCCCTACTTTTGTGCATTTGGAGTCACTAAATTCTTCCTTTTGTATTATCCTCAAATGTTTATTAGAAGAAGATGATTTGTAGGTGGATTCTGACAATGGGGGAAAAAGAATGATTCAACTTGAAAGCACAAGTTTTCTTCTCTTCCACTATTTACAGAAGGCCACTTTACAATTCAGATAAAATCATGAGTATGGGCAACTAAATGTTCTAAAGTAAAGAAATGTTTGGAAGTACTTGAGTCTATTTTAGTTAAAATACTTGTGGACAAGTGTTTTCTCATTCATTAACTTTTGGCTGACTGGTTGACATACTAGTCTGCTTTTCCTTCTCTCTGAGCAATTAAATCCATGTGATGGGCTCCTATCTTTACTATCTGGATCTGGCATGAGTTTATCTGTAAACCAGCTTTAAATGAGGCATTATGATAATCTTGTGTATAGTTAGATAGATAATAAATGGATACTTAATAGGACTTACATGTAGCATAATATTTTCCCACTAGTGATGGATACTGTGATATACTAACAGAGCATATGATAAATGTAGCAAATGGATATTTAATAGGGGATTAAGCTGGTCATAATCTTTTTCCCCATCTCATGTGAAGCATCTTGTGATGTTAACAGGAATTACACATAAGAACAGTGGGCAACATGTAGGACAGGCATGAGCTGTTGGTTGATGAAAATCTACAATATGACATCAATCACTCTAGGATCATTTCTAAAACACTCAGTAAATTGTCCTCTCGGATAATTTTTTCCTGATTTCAAAGTTTTTTTTCTTCCTGAACATTTTTTATACAAATGAGCTGCTTGTTCCACCATCTTAACTAGTTCAAACTAATGTCTTGCCACAAAGATATACATCTATATTCAGACTGTTTATTGTGGGGTAATACCACTCCCTTTTCTCTCTGTTCTGGCTCTTCCTTCTCCTGCATCCTCCCTTCCACTGTAAGGAACACCTTTAGATCACAAATATCACAACTATCTTCTTAGGTATAATGGTAATATGAAGCTGCTCAGAGCTATAGTCATTTTTTGCCACTGCTCATGACTATTATAAAAAATCCCTGAATGCTTCTGAGCATTGGAAGACCATTTATAAGATGGAAAATAATGTAGTATTTAAATATCAATGTCTTGATTCTAACACTGAAATGAAAACTGTCCGATATAAGATGAACGCCAAGAGCCAGGCATGATCCACAGAGCAGATAGATGGGAAAAGCACGGTGAGAAAAGCAGACAGCACGCAGATACTGTGAAAGCACATGCAATGGGCAGGACAGATTTGAAAGGAGTGGGGAAAGCAAGGGTCGGGACCCACAAACTTTGCATAGTGCTGCACTTAGCTTCGGGGGCTACATGCCAAATGATGAAGACCTCCGGTAAAAAGGTGAAAACAGAAGTTCAGTGGTATTTGCTTCATGGATAATCAGTCTACAAGAGGAATATTTGCCCCTGTAGCTACTTTGTGTACAGGCTGTCTAGGATAAATAAGGAACTCAACAGGGAGTAAATCAAATTAATAAAAGACTCTAATGTAAAGGAACAGATTGTTTTTTCTCTGCATTATAATTAAAGTATTTAAAGTTCTACATAATTTTATAAAATATTCATTATATTGATCCTAAGACGACTCAAAATTTATGTTTCTAAATATGAATGGTACATATTCATAAACCAACTTGGTAGAGAAACTGCTTTCAAATACAAAATGTAACAGAAGAGCATTCATCTAGACTGGAGACACTGGCCCAGTGCTGGTCCAGTTGTTTTCCTGAATCTGGGGCAATTTTGATTGGTACTTGCCAAATACAAGAAGAGTTCTCTCTCCAGGACAAACCTAAGTTTTGATTCCTTTTCATTAAAAACTTAATATAAACTTAAATTCACTGAAAACTACCCAACAGCTTACTTTGATATCTGTATATCAAGAAAATAATAAATTGCACTTAAATATCACTACTTTGTATTTCTGAACAAACACAAACAACATTTGCCCCCAACTGTCTACAGGTTCAACACTGAGATTTGCTTTCAATTCATTGACTTTGAAGGAAAAAGAATCCTATTCTTTTTATAGCTGCATTTACAACATCCAATTTCTAGTGATTAGAGCAACTCTTATTTAACAATCACATCCACCTCTCCTTTTCTCATCCCATATCCATACTCTCTTCCCTACTTCTCTAACTTTGTGTCCTATTTAATTTTATCATATTATTATTATTATTACTTTGTTCTTTTCAAGATAGGGTTTCTCTGTGTAGCTCTGGCTGGATCTCACTCTGTAGACCAGGCTGGCCTCCAACTCAGAGCACGTCCTGCCTCTGCCTCTTGAGTGCAGGGATTAAAGGCATGTGCCACCACTGCCTGGCTTTTTTTTTTTTTACACTTATTAAGTATAGTTTAGGCTTCCCATATAATCATGGGTATATGATATTTACTGAAGAATAGTCTACCATTAAGGAATATACTCTTAAAGAAACCTGACCCTTCCTATCCCAGAGGCCATCAACAAAGTAGTCCCTTAGCTAGGGGCAGGACTTCATGCCCATATACCCTCTCTATGATAGGTTTCAGTCTGGTTCAAGTCCATGCAGGTCTTTGCATGCTGTCTCAACTGCTATGAATTGATAGGTGCAATGAATCTGTATTTAACAATCACATCCACCTCTCCTTTGCTATGTCCAGAAAACAGTTTCCTTGTAGTAATCTACTGCCTAATGTTCTTAAAATCCTTTTGCTCCCTCTTCTGTCTTGATCCCTTGGTAGGAGGGAGAGTGTTATTGTTGTCATTCAGGGCAGAGCATTCCATAGTCTCTTAGTATTGCATCAATCAGTTGGGGCTCTCTATGTTAATTGCCATCTACTACAAATGGAAGCTTCTCTGATGAGGGCTGGAAGATACGATAATCTATTGGTATAGTGATAAGTCATTAGGAGTTGATTTAACATTGTGTCCACTTAAGAGACACAGAGAGAAAGATTCTGAGCTTGGTATGGGCTTTTGAAAGTTCAAAGCCAATCCCCAGTGACACACTTCCTTCAAGGCCACACATACTCCAAAAGTGTCACACCTCCTAATTCTTCTAATCTGTCTGATGACTAAGCATTCAAATATGTGAGCCTTTGGGGGACATTCTTCAAACTACCACATTATTCATTATTCAAACTACCACAAGCACACATATCTGAAGATTCAAAGCTAACATCTGCAAATAAGATAGATGAAATTTACAATGTGTATTTCTGGGTGGTCTGGGTTACCTCACTCAGAATAAATGTTTCCAGATCCATTCATTTATTTATGAATTTTATAATGCTATTTTCTTAGCATCTGATTAATATTCCATTGCACAAATGTACCACATTTTCATTATTCATTCATCAGTTTATGAACATCTAGGCTTTTTCAATTTTCTAGTTATTATGAATAGAGCAGGCTGGGGAGCCGAGGAAGCTCTAAGTATGTAAAGTCCAGAACAGATTCATGTTGTTGACATGATTCAGCCATCTCAGGATCCAAAACTCAGATCCATGAGAAATTGGCAAAGCTCCCCTTCTATGATGTTTAGAAGGAATGCATAGCTTTTCTCTGATCCAAGTGTGAATGATGATAGTATGTGTAGAAAATGTCCACCATAGTTTTCTACCCCTGGATATTTATGGCCAAGGCTTCTTCCCTATGGAGACTATTTCTACCTATATTGGCTAAATCTGTCTTCTTGATTGAGCTGCATACCATAAACCCTTCCTCCTTGTTCAGTTGTACGCAATTACCCCAACTTCCAGTTCACTGTATAGCAGAGACATGCAGAACCCCTGGCATGTTGAAGTTTTTCTAGTCTACCTGATCCCAGATTTTCTGTGTATTCACATATTTATCTTTTCTTCATTCCCTAACTGCTCTAGTCGAGTCAATCACCGGAAACATGCAGGACACAGCACAGTAGCAATGAACATGGATGGGCAGATATCTATAGTAGGATATAGGGTCCTTTAGATATATGTCCAAGAGTGGTATAGCTGGGTCATGTGGTAAATTGAACCAGCAACGAATAAGTTTTCCTCTATCCTTACATACACACCAGTATTTGATTATCATTTGGTTTTTGATATTAGTTATTCCAAAAGGGATAACATAAAATCTCAAAGTAGTTTTAATTTGTATTTCATTGATAGTGAGGAATGTTGAACACCTTTTAAAATGTTTCTCAGCCATTTTCATTTTGAAAACTTTCAGTTTAGTTCCATGTCCCATTTGTTTTAAGTGAGTTGTTTGGGAGATCTTTCATTGGCCTATGGACAGCTGATTAGGCTAGGTTGGGTGGCCAGTGAATGCCAGAAATCCTCCCATCTCTACTCCCTCTACTCCCAGGACTGGAGGTTACAAACTTAGTCCACCAGGCTTGTCTTTATATGTTAGTTCTGAGACTGAAACTGAGGTCTTCATGCTTATATAGCAAACACTTCATCAACTGAGTGGTTTCTCCATCCCCAACCCTGGTCTATTTTTATGAAACAATGTTAGATGATAAACTGGTAGCAAGCTTCTGGACAAAGATTTTACAGAATAACTTCAAGAACTTCATGTTTTACTGGTAGCAAAAAGTAAAGGTTATCTTTCTGAGAAAGATGTACACAGATATAGAAGTGACAAGAAAAACAGCGAATGGAGCCAATTTTTTTTTTTAAATCTTACCTTTAACTCAAAGAGGAAATGGGAATCATTAGATAAATAGCATGACAAGGTGGCTCCATGACTATAGCTTTTATGGCAAGTGGTTGTTAGACTTTCAAGTGTAGCAGGAATCTTAGAAGGTCTTATTAATAAAATCAAAGCTGAGGCCAGTTA